AAGGCACGAGGCACAAGGCACGAGGCACGAAGCACAAGGCACAAGGCACAAGGCACAGGGCGTAGGTAGGTAGAGCGCACGAAGGCGCGGGCTGCAGCAGGGCGCACGAGGGCGCGGGCAGCAGCAGGGCGCACGAGGCACAAGGCACGAGGCACGAGGCACGAAGCACAAGGCACAAGGCACAAGGCACAGGGCGTAGGTAGGTAGGTAGGTAGGTAAAACGAACACAGGCACGGCACAGCACAGCACGGCACGACACGGTACGGCACGGCATGGCACTGCACGGTATGGCTCGGCACGGGACACAACACGAGACACGAACGGACACGAGTAGCAAGGGGACGTACGAACAAAGGCGGGCAAACTTCAGGGGCGGCTGCTGCAGTGGCGGGCTGCTCCAGGGGCGGCTGCTGCAGTGGCGGGCGGCTCCAGGGGCGGTTGCTGCAGTGACTGGCTGCTCCAGGGGCTGCTGCTGCAGGCTCGGCAGCGGCAACTGCTGCAGGTAGAGCGGCGGCTGCTGCTGCAGGCTCTGGCGGCGGCTGCTGCTGCAGGCTCGGTGGCGGCAGCTGCTGCTGCAGGCCTGGCGGCGGCTGCTGCTGCAGGGCGGCGGCGGCTGCTGCTGCAGAGCGGCGGCGGCTGCTGCTGCTGGTAGAGCGGCGGCTGCTGCTGCAGGCTCTGGTGGCAGCTGCTGCTGCAGACTCTGGCGGCGGCTGCTGCTGCAGGCTCTGGCGGCGGCTGCTGCTGCAGGCCTGGCGGCGGCTGCTGCTGCAGGGCGGCGGCGGCTGCTGCTGCAGAGCGGCGGCGGCTGCTGCTGCTGGTAGAGCGGCGGCTGCTGCTGCAGGCTCTGGTGGCAGCTGCTGCTGCAGACTCTGGCGGCGGCTGCTGCTGCAGGCTCTGGCGGCGGCTGCTGCTGCAGGCCTGGCGGCGGCTGCTGCTGCAGGGCGGCGGCGGCTGCTGCTGCAGAGCGGCGGCGGCTGCTGCTGCTGGTAGAGCGGCGGCTGCTGCTGCAGGCTCTGGCGGCGGCTGCTGCTGCAGGCTCTGGCGGCGGCTGCTGCTGCAGGCTCTGACGGCGCCCCGCGGGTCCCGCAGGGGGCGTCGCGACGAGCAGGGGCGACGCCCCGCGGGTCCCGCACGGGCGTCGCGACGAGCAGGGGCGACGCCCCGCGGGTCCCGCACGGGCGTCGCGACGAGCAGGGGCGACGCCCCGCGGGTCCCGCACGGGCGTCGCGACGAGCAGGGGCGACGCCCCGCGGGTCCCGCACGGGCGTCGCGACGAGAAGGGGCAGCACCCAGGGGGCGCCGCGACGAGTAAGGGCGACGCCCCGCGGGTCCCGCACGGGCGTCGCGACGAGCAGCAGGGAGGGCAGCGCGCAGGCCCCCCCAAGGACGCTTCGACGGACGGGATAACCGCCGCGCGCCCCGAGCGCGCGGCGGGCAGAAGAAGCCGCCACGTGTTCGGAGCGCGTGGCGGGAAGAAAATGCAATGCCGCGCACCACGGGGCGCGCGGCGGATAGTACGACAGCGGAAGGAGTTGGTGGGCCCGATGAACTAGGCGGCAGGATCTCGCCGGCTCTAGATACCATGTTAGAATCGTAGGTGTGGGGCCTAGGCTTAGTAGCCTAGGCCCACACTAGGAGGTAGGTGGGTGCGCTCTAGAACTAGGAGTTAGGGTTTACGAAGGAGAATTGGAATGAAGAATGATGATGACTAGCAAGCAGCAGGACACACAAATAGCAAACCCTAAGGGGTTGTACTCACTATTGAGCACCCCACTGCAGGCTAGACAAATAACATTCTGACATATCCTTTAGCGGTTCGAGTTTCAGTTGTCCACTTCACAGCCTACTCCTCTTGCTATTGACCGCAGACTCAATGGTCCACGCAGTTTCCTCTAACGAGCCGTTTGAGAATCGTGGTCCTTACCTAGAGCTTGTAGGCTGCCTCATGTACCTGATGACTTGTACTCGCCCGGACCTTGCCTTCCCTCTCAGCATCCTTGCCCGCTTTGTTGCACCAGGGAGACACCGTCCTGTTCACTGGACAGCTGCTGTGAGGGTGGCGAAGTACCTAGCGACGACATCAAGAGTGGGGCTGGTGCTTGGAGGAAGACAGGCTGTCGTGCTCACTGGTCACTATGACTCTTCTTACGCTGACGACGCCGAGACTCACAGGTCCACACAGGGGTACTGTTTCAGTCTAGGCTCTGGAGCTATGTCGTTGAGGTCTACTCGTTCCTCCTCTGTCTCGACCTCTACTGCTGAGGCCGAAACTTACGCTGGAGCCATGGCTGCACAGCAGCTGCATTGGTTCATCTTCTTGCTCACTGACCTTAATGAGCGGTCAAGATCTGCACCGACCTTGTTCATAGACAACAAGGCGATGATTCTCCAGTGTCGGGAGCCTCGTCTGGAGAGCAGGATGAAGCACATCAGCGTCATGTACTTTCTTCTTTGGGAGTTGAAGAGGTGTGGACAGGCTCGTCTAGACTTCGTGGGCTCTGAGGCCAACTCTGCATACATTTTCACCAAGGCCCTTTCGCCTTGTGACCACCATAGGTTTTGTCTGCAGTTAGGTCTCATTGACACAGGTTCTCGTCTCATGTAGACTTGTGTTGTCTACTTGCTTTGTTTGTACTCTTTGCATATATACCTCTCTGAACTCTGGGACTGGCCTTCTGGCCTCTTGTATGTGCTCGGACTGTGTGGTGACGTTGTGATCCACCCTGAGCTTTGTCTCTTTGTGACTGGTCTTGTGACCGTACGGTTTAGTTGTTGCATGACACCCCTCACTTAGGCTATGGGGGTGTGTCAAATGTTGTAGCCTGTAGTGAGGCATGTCATGTGGGGAATAGTTGTTAGGGTTAGGTATATGTACCCCTACTCACAGTAATACACACATCGTTCCGTTTCTGACATGCCCTTCTTCTTCCCTAATATTCCATCTGTCAATGTTATGTTTATGTTGTTAGTTTGTTAGTTAGCCTGTAGTGAGGTGCTTGATAGAGGGTACAACATTTCTCTCTACACTTTGGTTTGTATCCCCTCCCTTGACCTAATCTCCAACTGTTCCCAACTCACTTCAAAACATGTCTGAAGGCCACAAAAAAAACGGTGTGACTGGTTTTCAAGTGGACCCAGCTAGAAGGGGTGGGTCACTATTTTAGCTGCTGGCTTTAACACCCTCCACCGGAGCTGACAACACTACCCACCTGTGCTCGCTTGACGCCGGCTTCCCAGGTGCTTGTGCTGCTAACGACCTTGTTGAGCAGCCTCCCCATCCCCCATGCATGCCACCCTGCACTTCCTAACGACCCGCCTCGCTGACTGCCCCGCGCCTGCCAGAGACACCCTCCTTGCCGTGCATCACAAGCACCTCATAAGCAATTTCTCTCATTAAGATCGAGACCTGCCTTTGCTACATCGCCTCCCAAGGGTGCAGTATTACCGTACTATGAAAGGTTCTCGGTCATAAGATTTAGAAGGCACCCATTTGTTAGAATATGAACTGCCAATTTTTACTGGTAGTTCGGAATATGATACATATGTCCACAATACAGGCGATGACAGAAGGAAATTACTTGCTACACACAATCGCAGGCAGTGTTATCATGCGTATAAATTCAGGCAATGGTGTGTGTCACAATAGTGAGCAAGAATGGATGCATTGAGCAGAGAAGTGGGTACAAATGCTAACCCTAATTTGGGTTGTACCCTTTATGGGCTACCCCACTACAGCCTACACAGCACAAGCATCATTATAGTTTGACATACCCCCATAGGCAAAGTGGGGGAGAACTAGTGGTCACAAGACCAGTCAAGAAAAGCAAAGCAAGCTCAAGGTGGATCACGAAGTCACCACTGTCAAAATGTTATTATTGTCTAGCCTGCAGTGGGGTACTCTATAGCGAGTACAACCCAATCAGGGTTTCCTATATGTATGCCAACTGCTGCTAGTGCAAACCCTCCTTTCTTCATTTTTGTTCCTGCCAACTGTATTTTTTTATATATATATAAATTACAGTACAAGCAAAGCCAAGCAGTGAGCAAGTGAGAAGAAGCATGCACAAGGCCTAAAGCAGTACAGAAACGCTGATGATCACCAGGAGGAATTGCCTTGGTGAATATATCAGCAGTGTTGGCCCGAGTGGCCACGTAAGCAAGACGAAGCTGACCATGCTGCTGCAACTCTCGAGCAAGGAATGTTAGAAGGAAATGCTGCCATGAGCAACAAAATGTCCCCGCTGAAAGTGTCTCAGGACAGATTCAGGACAGTTTCTGCTAAGGGGCTGGTTATGCTGCACTTGAGTTTCGAACTGGAGACCTTTCGATTCAAGTGTCCCGAAAGTGTCTTGGCAGGACAGATTGGGGACAGTTTGGGGACACTTTGGCGAAATCGATCTCGGGTCGCGTTCGGTTTGAAACTCGGCAGCGAAGTGTCGAAGTCAACGGAATTCGCACGGGAGTTACAGTCGGTGGTCGACGGAATTCTGGTCGCGGAAATTCTCGTCTACGGAATTCCAGTCAATGGAATTCGCTCGGCGAAATTCAAGGCTCGGAATTTCGCGTCGACGAAATTCAGCGCGCGACCCGGGTCGACACTTTCTTGTGTGCTTTGTTTTTGTATTGCGTCCTAGTATAAAACCAGAGAGCACAAACCAGAAATTAACCAAGTCATTATCACTGCTATGTTTGTGTGTATCTCTAGCTATTGTGGACCGTTTCCTGCAATCTTTGGTGCGTTGGAATCGTGCTTCTGAGCTCTATCAAGCTGCTATTGTAGTGAATTTCTACATGGTGTCAGAGCTGCGTTATTTTCGTCGATCCAACTAGCGGCTTGATTCCGTCCTCCCGTCACTTCGCTCCTTCGTTGGTATGGCCGACGCTCGCTTTGAACGTGGATGGAGTGGTTAACAAGCGCCGAGTGCCCGTCAGGAGCTGGAGGCGTCCGTTTGTGAACACCACCCTAACTTGCGTGATGAGAGAGATCGACCTCATTGTGGATGGTCGTCTACTACGCATGGTTCGGGAGCGCGCTGCGGAGCAAGCACCTGCGATTGGTCAGCAAGGAGGAACCGGTGAAGGAGGAGCTGGGCACGAGGCTCCAATTGCCGTGGGCGTTGGAGGAGGAGCTGTTGCACCGACCATTGACACGGGAATGACCGGGACGAGCTACGGCCAATGGAGTAGAGCATATCTCCGTGACGCCGCTGCTGGAGGGAAGGCACGACCTCACCGCGTGGGTCAGCGCCATCCGACCTCAGCTTCAATGTGTTTTTTTTTTGTGGCAGTTTTGCAACGGGACAGCACCAAGCCCGGCCCCGAACAATCCCTTGCAACGAAGGGAGTACGCCAAGGGCCAAATGCTTGCATTCATAATGCTGAATCGTTGTGTTTCTCCACCCATCCGAATGTCTATTGCTGGTTTCTCTCAGCAAGAGAAAGCCGGGCAGATGGCATGGGCATACATCTTGTCTACCTATCAAGCTCGTGATGCCCTCCACGCTTCCCTACTTCAGACCCAGCTAGCCCAACTCAGGAAGGGAGATGATGAGACGGCGGAATCCTATTGCAATAGGGCCCGCACCATCCGAGCGGAGCTGCTGACCATTGGACAGGAGGTCCACATGGCCACGTTTGCCGCTCACGTGCTGAAGGGTCTGCCACCAGAGTACGGGTTCCTTTGCCGCAAGCTCGACATCTCCAGCCCCGACATGACGGTGGAACGAGTGTGCAGCGAGGTGTTGATGGAGGAGCAGACTCTCTCCATCGAACACAGTTACAAGCAGATCACCAGCGATGCATCTTCTTTCTTGGGCGATGTCAACACGATCGTGGCTACAACGGGGGTCAACAACGGGAAGGAAGGAAAAGGGGGGAAGGAGCAGACGGACAAGAAGAAGGATGACAAGCGGGAGAAGAAGCGAGGCCCCTTCAAGGGGCGCTGCTACAACTGCAATGAGGAGGGGCACATGGCTGCCAAGTGCCCCAACAAGAAGAAGGATGCAACGATCGCGGCAGCCGCGAACGTTGCTGAAGGCGACGGGAAGGGCGTGGTGCTCACCGTTGCGTGTTCGGCTGCAAAGCTGCTGGCCGATGACAAGGACATGTGGTTCCTTGACTCAGGATGCTCCCAATACATGACCGGCCGCAAGGAGTGGTTCACGGTGATCCGTGACCCATCTGCAACGAAATCAGTCAAAGGGTTCGATGGTTCAATGCAGGAAGTCGCCGGTGTTGGTGAGGTTTTGCTGGAGGGCACTAACGACTTGCGCGTGACTCTGCATGATGTCCTCTTTGTGCCATGAATGAAGGCCAACTTGGTCTCCCCTGGGCAGCTCTTGGACAACGGAGCAAAGCTGCAAACCGAGGAAGGTGTCACTCGCATCATCACATCAGGAGGTCAAGTGCCTGAAACGGCACGATACTGCCATCGCCTTCACTGCCTTGACCTGAAACCGGGGCCAGCAAGGAACGGTGCAACGGCTGCAGCGGCATGCAACGGCACGGCGGCTGCATCGGCATGCAATGGCACGGCGGCTACAACGGCAAGCAACGGCACGGCGAAGGAGATTGCTGATGTGGCGTCAAGCAAGCCGGAAGCTAACGATGGAGCGGCCAGCCTCAAGACTAACGCGGTGGGCTCCAAGGCAACGCCCAACCTGTGGCACGCTCGCCTTGGACACGTCCACTTCGATGCGGTGAAGCGAACAGCCACGAGCGGTGGCGTGTTCGGTATGGACCTGGAGAAAGGAGGTGAGGATATGCCGTGCACCTCCTGCCATGAAGCCAAACTCACTCGCGAATCATTTCCGTTGCATGACGAGCGAGAGGAGCAGGTTCTCGGCTGGTCCATACTGATGTGTGCGGTCCATTCCATACCCCAGCCATGGATGGAAGCAGGTACTACATTCTTTTCGTGGATCATGCCTCGCGGTACACCTGAAGGACGACGTTGAAGCTGAAAAGCGATACGCTTGCTGCCTTCAAGGAGTGGCTCCCCGAAGCTGAACGCCAGACCGGGATGACGCTGAAGGTGTTGCGGTCGGACCGGGGATGAGAGTTTATGTCGAACGAGTTCCTGCTGCTGCTGAAGCAACGAGGGATCTTGCGTCAACTCTCTTGCCCCTCGACCCCCCAGCAGAACGGTGTGGCTGAACGCCACGACCGTACGGTAACCGAGGGCATGCGTGTGATGTTGGGGCACATGGGGGTGAAAGCACACTGGTGGCACTTCGCTTTCCAGCAGTTCCTGTGGGTGGTAAACCGTGTTCACCAGTCCACCCTGCCCCATGGTGTGACCCCTCATTTGGTGGTGTTCAAAGTCAAGCCCGATGTGTCCATGGTCCGTGTGTTCGGGTGCATGGTTCAGTACCTCATTCCTGAGCACGAGCGTAAGGGGAAGCTTGCAAGCAAAACTCGTTGGGGCATGCATTTGGGCATGAGCATGGAAAGCAAGGGATGGCGTGTGGTGGATGTTGAGTCACATCGCATGGTCATCACCCGGGATGCACGTTTTTATGAGGATATGTCACTTGAAAGGTGGCAGAAGTGGCGTGCACAGGCGGGTGATGGGAATGACCAGCCCACACCACCCTTTGCTTCAGTCCCATCTCTCTTTCCTGAGCCCCACGACCCCGAGCAGAATCTGCCGCCACCACGTACCGTCTATGGAAGGGGGCAAGCAACCCCTTGATCGCTCGGTGGGCCCTTTGGGCAGCAAGGCACCTACTGCACCTCCTCCTCTCGGTCCACCCTCCGTTGCTGATTCGGCGCCCTTGAGGATGGAGGCGATACGGCTGATCTTGAGGAGGACGGAGAAGTCGTAGTGGATGAGCAGCCGCCAAGTGGTTCATGCGCATGAGCCTTCACTTGCAGCTCCTCCCATCCAGCCCATTCCACAACCCCCACGTCGCTCTAGCAGGCCTAACAAGGGGGTGCCACCCGTACGGTTCCAGCCATCAGCCCTGACGGCCCAGGATGCGGACGATGAGGAGAACCCGTACGACATGGCGTACCTTGCTGAGGACGACTGCGACACGGACAGCGATGACGAAGTGGAGTACCGAACGAGGATGAGGAGGAGGAAGGCGCTTGGGGAGGTGTCATCCTCGACCTGGCAGCTGCGTTGACCGGACCTGTAGGCAAGGAATGGTGGGCTGCTATGAAGGAGGAGATGGAGAGCCTTGATGAGCAAGGCACTTGGTCGTTGGCCGACCTACCCGAAGGTCGCAAAACAGTCGGCGTCAAATGGATACTAAAGAAGAAGCTGCGACCTGATGGCACCGTGGAGAAGTATAAGGCCAGGCTCGTGGAAAAGGGCTTTAGCCAGCGCTTCGGCATCGACTACGACGACACTTATGCTCCTGTTGGCAGCTACACCACCGTTCGCGTCGCAGCAGATATGGACCTGGATTTGCTACAACTTGATGTGAAGAATGCATTTCTTCACGGCACCATCGACCACGAGATCTACATGCAGCAGCCGCCCTACTTCACCGACGGTAGCAGCAAGGTGTGCCTCCTGCACAAGAGCCTTTACGGACTCATGCAGAGTTCCCTTCTATGGTATAACGAGCTGGACAAGGTGCTCCTTGTGGAGGGATACAGGAAGAGCCTTGTGGACCAGGCCCTATACTACAAGGATGGGGCGAGCGGGAAGCGCGCGTGGCTGCTAATTTACGTGGATGACCTGCTAGCTGCAAGTGAAGACAGGCAGCTATTGCAGGACCTGAAGGAACTGCTGGCCAAGGCGTTTCAGCTCCGTGAGGTGGAGCCAGTGGAACGCTATTTGGGGCTGCAGATTGTGCGCGACCGCCCCAACAGGACACTCCTCCTGCACCAGAATGCGTACGTGGCGAAGGTGCAGCAGCGGTTCTTCAAGGGGGCGCCACCGAAGAAGCATCCCATCACCCCTCTCTTCTCCGCCAGCTTTGCCAAGCAGGATGCCGGGCAATTTGCCGACCGAACCATGACCGAGTACCTGTCAATTCTCGGCATGGTGCAGTTTGCAGCTATCTCAACCCGTCCTGACCTCTCTTTTGTGTGCAGCCGTCTTGCAGCAGGTGCACACCTCAGGATGGATGCGCATTGGCATGAGCTCTTCCGCACACTCTCCTACTGGGCTGCCTCACCAGACACGGGGCTGCTGTTCACGAAGGACCAGAGAGCTTGACTCTGGTGGGGTATGCGGATGCGGATGATGCGGGCGACAAGGATAACTGTACGTCCACGGGAGGCTACCTCTTCAAGCTTTGCGGAGCTGCCGTTTCTTGGCAGGCCAAGAAGCTGCAGGGTGCGACCAAGCTCTCCTCCACCGAGAGCGAGCTTGTGGCTGCGGTGGAAGCGGGAAAGGAGGGGCGCAAGCTGAGGTTCCTGTTGTGGGAGTTTCAACTGCTCAAGAAGGGTGTTCCCACCACCCTGTACGTCGACAACATGTCACCGGTGCAGCTCAGCCAAACGGGCGGGCTGCAGGGGCGCATGAAGCATGTGGACCGTCGCCACATGTGGCTGCAGGACATGGTGCGCATGAAAAGCTAGAGCTGCAGCACATCCCTACGACGGCGCAGCCCGCGGACTTCTTCACGAAGCGGCTCGATAAGGCAGCCTTCAACCGATGCTGTGCAGCAGCCGGGCTGGTCCAGCGTGCTCCTGACAGCAAGGGGGCGTGTTAGAAGGAAATGCTGCCATGAGCAACAAAATGTCGGCGCTGGGATTCGAACTCGTGACTTTCAATCTGTCCTTAAAGTGTCTCAGGACAGATCCATGACAGTTTCTGCTAAGGGGCTGGTTATGCTGCACTTTTGAACAGGAGACCTCTCGATTCAAGTGTCCCGAAAGTGTCTTGGCAGGACAGATTGGGGACAGTTTGGGGACACTTCGGGGAAATCGATCTCGGGTCGCGTTCGGTTTGAAACTCGGCAGCGAAGTGTCGAAGTCAACGGAATTCGCACGGGAGTTACAGTCGGTGGTCGACGGAATTCTGGTCGCGGAAATTCTCGTCTACGGAATTCCAGTCAATGGAATTCGCTCGGCGAAATTCAAGGCTCGGAATTTCGCGTCGACGAAATTCAGCGCGCGACCCGGGTCGACACTTTCTTGTGTGCTTTGTTTTTGTATTGCGTCCAGAGAGCACAAACCAGAAATTAACCAAGTCATTATCACTGCTATGTTTGTGTGTATCTCTGGCTATAGTGGACCGTTTCCTACAATCCTTGGTGCGTTGGAATTGTGCTTCTAAGCTCTATCAAGCTGCTATTGTAGTGAATTTCTACAAGGAGGTAACGCAGAGCGATGTGCTTCATTCTGTGCTCCAGTTTGTGCTCCTGACACAAGGCAATGGCGGCCTTGTTGTCTACGTACCGAAATGGAGGAGAACGAGGCCGCTCTCCCAAGTCGGTCAGCAGGTAGGTAACTCCTGTGCAGCCATGGCTCCTGCGTAGATCTCAGCCTCACAACTGGAGCTGAGAACAGAAGACGAGCGGGTAGACCGCCAAGAAACAGAGCCTGAGCCAAGGCTGAACGTGTAACCCTGTGACAACTGCAGTGTAGCCAGGTCGTCAACCCAGGACGCGTCGGAGTGTCTAGTGAGGACAACTCGACTACGTCCTCCAAGCACGAGCCTCATTCCCGATGCACTGCACAAGTAGCGGCAGCGGCTAAGGCAACTGCGGGAGGAGAGGAGACTGCACCAACTGCTGGGGTCCTGGATGCAGTCAAGAAGGTGCAGCAGCCACAGCAATCACATGGTGAGGTGCTTGCTGGTGTGGATGCAACAGCTGCATGGGCAAAGGCTTCATCTGGGAGTGGTGAGGCCGATTGGGAGACGTGGCATGAGAGGCTGTGCCACATCAATATTCCTATGCTGCAGAAGTTGGTGAAGGATGGGAGCTTGAAGGGATTGGAGGTGAAGGGGGCAGCAAAGGAGATTGGGAGCTGCCCTACATGCCTTGAGACCAAATTCACGAAGTTTCCCTTCAGCAGCAGCACGGGACCAGCCAAGGCTCCACTTGCACATGGATGTGGTGGGCCCCACGAGGGCCCTTTCTCTCTCGGGCAGCCGCTATTTCCTGACCATTGTGGACGACCACACGCGTGCGGTGTTGAGAGGGTACACCAACACCGCACCACCAAGTGGTACGGGAGTGCACCGGCAGTCAACATGCTGAGAGCCTACGGCTGCATGGTGGTGTTTCATGTGCCGAAGGAGAAGAGGGGAAAGTTGGAAGCTTCTGGGAGATGGGGTGTGCACTTGGGGCTTACCAAAGATCACAAGGGCTAGTTGATATGGGAATTGACCAGCCAGCAGCTGACTGTGTCAAGGGATGTGAAGTTCCTTGAGTCCTTGTACTACAAGGAGTGGAAGCAGCAGCAGCAGAAGCTTCCCACTACACCGCTGATCATTGAGGCCGATGAGGTGCAGCGGCCTTCGAGGCAAGTGCAGGTCACTGTCTCAGAGGAAGAGCTCTCTGGGGTGACTGAGGATGGGGGAGAACCTGAGGTGGAGGAGGAGGAGCAGTAGCAGCAGCCGCAGCAGCAGCAGCAGCAAGGTGCTCCACAAGGTGCCGCACGTCCGGCTGACCGTCCTAGGAGGGATGTGCGCCCTCCTAACCGGCTGACCTATCCGGGCTGTGGCTAGCCAAGTGTGGTAAGGGCTGGGAGTGTGGCCGAGCAGTGTGATGAGGAGGAGATAGCGCACTGCTACTGGGCAGCCGTCCCTGAGCCCAAGACGCTTACCAAGACCTTGAGTGGGCCCGATGCTGAGAAGTGGAAGCAGAGTGTGAAGGAGGAGTATGACTCTCTGCTGGAGAACGAGACGAGAGCTGTGTGAGCTGCCTCCTGGGAAGAAGGCAATCTCTTCGAAGCTGATTTTCAGGCACAAGTATGGACCTGATGGGGAGCTGACCCGTCACAAGTCAAAGCTTATGGCTAAGGGGTTCCAGCAGACAAAGGGGAAGGATTTTGACGACATCTTTGCTCCTGTGGGGAAAGGGACAACACTGAGGGTGATGTTGTCAATGGCTGCAAACCGTGGATGGAGAATCAAGCAGATGGATATCATAACTGCCTTCCTCAACGGGATCATCTTGGAGGAGCTGTACATGCTGCAGCCTGAGGGGCTGGATGATGGGAGCGCCAGAGTGTGCAGGCTGAAGAAGGCCATCTATGGCCTGAAGCAGGCTCCTCGCGCATGGTACCACAAGCTAGAGGAGACACTGCTGGCTGGGGGGTTCAAGAAGAGCGAGTGTGATCACAGCCTGTTCCTGCTGCAGGAAAAGGAGCAATTCCTCGTGCTCCTGGTGTATGTGGACGACATCCTGCTTTTCTCCGAGTCATCTACGATGATTCAGCGTGTGGAGAAGATGCTGGAGATGCAGTTCAAGTGCTCGAAGATGGGAGATGTGAAGTACTACCTTGGGATGCATGTGGAGAGAGACCTTGACAAGGGAGTGTTGAGGTTGCACCAGAGGAAGTACTGTGAGGGGCTGGCCGAGAAGTATGGGCTGCAAGATGGAGGGAAGCCAGCCACCCCACTGCCTTCGGGGTTCACTGTGGAGCCCTGTGCTGATGAGGAGGTGGAGTACAGTGCCGTGCGACAGAGGCTGCAGAGGGGTGCAGCTGACTTGAGCAAAAGGGAGATGCTCTTGACTTGTTACACCGACGCTAGCTTCAACTCAGTGAAGGCGGATGGCACCAGCATTGGAGGCTACGTGTGCCTCTTTGGAGGTGGTGCAGTGAGCTGGCGCAGTAAGAAGCAGAACGAGGTGGGGCTGTCCTCGTGTGAGACCGAGTACATGGCTCTTCACCATGGGGCCAAGGAGGTGGTGTGGCTGAGGCATTTGTTGGAGGAGATTGGTGTTGGTCAGAGGGAGCCGACTGTGATGTTTTGTGACAATGAGTCGGCAGTGAACTTAGCCAAGAATGCTTGTCTTCATGGGCTGACCAAGCACATCAGGCCAAAGTGGCATTGGACGAGGAGGCTCCTGGATAAGGAGGTGCGGCTGGAGATTGTGAAGACCCAGCAGCAGGCAGCTGACATTCTCACCAAGCGCCTGGCTGAACTTGGGCATTGGAAGGGGATGAAACTTGCTGGAATGAGTGTGCATTGAGGGTGCACGCTTCAACTGTGGCATGTGGGATGATGGTTGGCAGCCAGAGGGGGAGTTTGTTATGTGATGCTATCATTTGCATTCACGTCTGTCTGCCTCCAGTCATATGTTTGTGCGTTGCATGCGTGGTATGAACGTATGCAAGAATTTGTGTTTGGTGTGGTTGGGATTTTCTGAGTGTGTGTGAATGATATTTGGCTTGAGCAGATATCTGAAATGACTCCTCTGTTCAAGAGCTTTCCGATGAGACAAGCATCGTCGCAATCGGAGCACGACCAAGAAAGTTACGAACATTGGAGTTCGTATGCTTTTATATTTGGTTGTGGCGTCTATGGGAAGTTGTGGGGTTGACTCCATAAGGGGTATAGACTTTTGGGGGTTGGGAAATTCGAACCCATCACTGTAGATGCTGCCAAGTGGTTGGGAGAAGCCAAACCAGGTTGGCAAGTGTGGCCAACTGGTGTGAGGTGGATTGTGGAGGTTTGGAAAATGACAAGGGTGAAAGTTGGGTTGCCTATTGAGAGGGAAATTGTGTGGCATGGGGTTTCCTTGGTTGGGGACTCTCTTGGGACCTTCCCTCTCGTCCTCCTCTTCCCTCCTACCTGGTTTATTGCTACTCTAACTCTCTTGTGTGTAACTTAGGAAAACTTGTGAGGATAATTGTGATTGAGTTAAGCTTGTGGCTGCCTACCCCCTAGTGCGCCGAAATTGATAACTTGAAATATACTCCATCATTTGATACGATTAAACTTGGGAAAGATAGTCGTGGTCAAGGGCTAAAACATACTCGAGTTTGGCGGAATTCTAGCGGTTAGTTTTTTGTCGACGGCGTTTCTTGTGAACATGACTTTTCTGTCCAGAATTTCATGCCAACGACTTTGAGATATTTCGGCCCCTATTCTTCATAAACTCTGTCCTTAATCTCTAACAAGCTCCAGCACCTCCAGCTCCAGCGCCTCCAGCTCCAGAGGCCGCAGCACCACCATCTCTGGCAGCTCTAGCACCTCCAATACGAGCACCTCCGGGACCAGCCGTGCCAGCACCACCAGCACCTCCAGCACCAGCAGCACCACCAGCTCCGGCAGCTCCAGTACCTCCAGTACGAGCACCTCCACGACATGAAGCTCCAGTTCCTCCGGCACCTTCAACTCCATCGTCTCTAGCTCTAGAGCCTCCAAATCCAGCGTCTCCAGCTCCAGCGCCTCCAGCTCCAGGGTCTCCAGCTCCAGCGCCTCCAGCGCCAGCGCCTCCAGCGGCAGGGTCTCCAACTCCAGCAGCGCCACTCCGAAGGCGGGTGCGCCGAGCGTACCACTCGCGCAGCTGCTGTGGTGAGAGGGGCTCCCGCCGGCTAGACTGCTGTGGCGAGGCACCGGTAGGACCTCCAGGACTAGTAGCCCCAGCACCCCCAGTACCTCCAGTACCAGCAGTACCTCCAGCACCTCCAGGACTAGCAGCTCCAGGGCCTCCAGCTCGAGCAACGCCACTCCGAAGGCGGGTGCGCCGAGCGTACCACTCGCGCAGCTGCTGTGGTGAATGAGGCTCCCGTCGGCTAGACTGTTGTAGCGAGGCACCGGTAGGACCGCCAGGACTAGTAGCTCTAGCACCCCCAGTACCTCCAGTATCAGCAGTACCTCCAGCACCTCCAGGACTAGCAGCTCCAGGGCCTCCAGCTCCAGCAGCGCCACTCCGAAGGCGGGTGCGGCGAGTGTACCACTCGCGCAGCTGCTGTGGTGAGAGAGGCTCCCGTAGTGTAGACGCAGTACCCCTAGACGCAGCACCCCGAGACTCAGCACCCCTAGGCTCCGCACCTGTAGGCTCAGCATCCCCAAGCTCCGCACGCTCAGGGCTCAGCACCCCCAGGTTCCGCACTCGCAAGCTTAGCACTCCCAGGCTCCGCACGCTCAGGTTCAGGACCTTCGAGCTCTGCACTCGCTGGCTCACCCAGGCTCCACACCCGCAGGCTCAGCACCCCCAGACGCAGCACCCCGAGCAGCACCAGAGTCACCATTGACCACGACAGGCTTAATCAAGGGGAGTGGGTCTACCTGAGACACACCTGAAAAAGCAAGACCCTGAGGGGGAAGGGGGTCTATCGGAGAGGGACATGGAGCGAGGAAGAACGACGAGGGGGGAGAGGGGCAGCGCGGTAGGGGAAGAGACGGCGCGAGGTGGGGTGGTAAAACTGCCAACCAGGCGCGTCAGGGGGGAAGCCAAGGAAGACACAGGGAATGGCGCGAGAGGAGAGCTTGTCCGCGGACGTATCGCAGACAAGGGCACGAGCGCTCCAGGCCCGGAACACCGACGCATCGCCAACCTCCCCCGTCCAACGCAGTGTAGGCGAGGTCTCCGGCAAGGAGACACGGGGCCAGAGGTTGAGCTGATGCGCGGCGTACCGGACCGCAAATGGCCACAGAAAATGGGGAGCAGCCGCATGGATCATGGAGGTACGAGCGACCTCCATGACTAAGCCAATGCAGCGCTCAGCAACCCGATTCTGGTGCGGGGAGGCCGGAAGCGTGAACGACTAGAGGATGCCCTCCCCACGACAAAAGTCCCGCAAGAGGTCGGAGGAAAACTCACCGCCCCTATCAGAGTGCAGATGCTGGACTGGAAGGTCCGCCTGGAACCGCTCGTGGAGCTGGAGACGGACAGCGCGGATCCAAGGGATCAAAACATCAGGGACCTCCCCCTTGCTGCGCAAGGAGAACCGTGGTGTAATGCGTGTAGTCATCAACAACCAGAAAAAAAAACCGCTCGCGGTCCAGTCCACGGACGAGGACTAGGGCCCACACGTCCATGTGGAGAATCTGCATGGGAGCCTCTGTCGGGAGAAACGAGGAGTGAGGAGCGGCGCGCTGCCGCCCCTCGACGCAAAGATGTCAGGGCGGGGTAGGCGAGCGCGGGAGGGGGGGCAGAGACCTGGGAAGACCAGAGACAAGGAGGCGGGAGTGCATGCTACGGAGGCGTGGTAAGAAGGGGTGACCTAGGCGGTGGTGCGAGAGGAGAGTCTGGTGTGAGGTGGCGACACGAGCAGGGGGCTGCTACCTGACCTGACGCGGACACCTGACCAGACGCAGCTACCTGGGGAGGCTCAGTAGTCAGTGTGTACAGGCTCGACCCTGGCCGACGGGTGAACGTGGCCAGGTGACGGCCCGTCCGTGCACACGTGCAGATCGCCACACGCTGTCCTCCAGGGGTAAAGGTATCAACCCAAGCATCCTGAAGGACGGCGTTACTCACCAAGTTCGTAGAGAACGAGGGGAGGTGAAGACTTGTTAGTGAGCCAGACGGAACCACCGGACACGGGAGAACAGTGGTGGAACGTGCAAGTACCGGGTCCCCAGAGGGGTCAGCCAGTGAGACAGGGACAGGTGCAGGGAGGGGTGTGACTGTGGTACTGTCGCGAAAGAAACAGCGGGAAGCACCTGAGTCAAGCGTGAAGGTGTGCAAGGCCTCAGCAGGCGCAGTACTAGAGAGAGCAGACTCACTAGCACCTAGAGTAGCAGCCTCTATACCAGGGTCGGGCGGCACACACAGGTAACAGTCACCCTCAGTACCAACAGTCAAAGCATACATGGCAGTAAGGATAGCGTCATAGTCTAGAGCAAATATATCCACATTGTTCCGAAGCAGCTCAAACCAGCAGGGGAGCTCAGCCTCGCCACCAAACTTTGTACGCCAGGCGTCGCTCAGACAGGAGAAGCAGCGGGACTGTGTGTGGCCAACTGTCCCGAAAATCTGACCATCCCGATCACCTGTGCTAATGACGTACGCGCAGCGAGCACTACTTCTAGACCCCCCACTCTGAGCGTACCACTCACGAAGCTGCTGGGGCGTAAGGGTCTCGCGCGGACACCGCTGTAGCTGCATCTGACCACCGCCAGAAACTCCCCACTGAACAGCTCCACCGCGACTGCCACTACGGCCACTGCCACCACTCCAACAAGCGTACCACTCACGAAGCTGTAAGGGTCTCGCGCGGACGCCGCTGCAGCTGCATCTGGCGAGCGCCAGAAACTCCCCACTGAACAGCTCCACCGCGACTGCCACTACGGCCGCCGCCACCACTCCCACTGCTGCCACCACCGCCGCCACCACTCCCACCGCTACCACGAAGAGAAGTCATAGCGGGCAAAGCAAGGAGGCGTGCGACCAGCAGGGCAGCACTCAGAGAAGGCAGGGTGGCGAGCAGGCACTAGGGTAGCGTGTAGGGTAGGGCGGGGCGGTGCACGGTCAGGGAAGGGTGGCGCGCGGCCAGAGTAGGGGGGCAGACGGGAGGCGCGCGGGCTGGGCTCACGCGTGCGGGCAGTGCAGGGCAGCCGCGCATACAGGGCAACAGCGCGGAGCAGGACAGGCGCATGGGGCAGGGCTCAGGCGTGCGGGCAGGGCAGGGTAGCCGCGCGTGCGGGGCAGGGCGGCGCGTGGGCAGGAAAGGGGCGGCGCGCGGGCCCTAGGGTGACGCGAGGGGCAGGGCAGGGCGTCGCGCGGCTAGCAGGGCGGCGCGACTGGCAGGGCAGGGCAGCACGCGACCAGCAGGGCGGCGCGACGGGCAGGAGAGGGCAGCGCGACTGGTGGGCAGTGCGACGGGCAGGGTAGGGCGCTACGAGCAGGGTAACGCACTACGGGCAGTGAACTATTCGGTGGGCCCTGAAAAAACGGTCCTGGAACAGTACCTGCTCTGAAACCATGTCAGAATAGTGAGCGAGAATGAGTGCTTTGAGCAGAGAAGTGGGACCAAATGCTAACCCTAATTTGGGTTGTACCCCTTATGGGCTACCCCACTACAGCCTACACAGCACAAGCATCAGGTAGTTTGACAGTGTGTTCATCCATCAGAGGACCTTGGTCCGTTGAAAGAAGGTCTTGAGGTGCCAGTACTGCAGAGCGGCCAGCAGAGCGCATGTGAGCAGCGAGAAGGCGCTGAGCCACCCAACTCGTGCCTGCGTGGCCTGGGACATGGCCCGTAGCTCCTCCTCCCTGCACCCACCCATGGGGCAACACATGTTGCTCGCAGCATGAATCACACGGTGGCGCAACAAGGGACACAACGGTCCAGCTGCGGCTCCTCAGCACCACAGATAGGCGCCTGCACTCTGATGCCATCCCCTCATGCGATCCCCCTGCCATCCCCCCAAGCTGGTTGCAGTGTAGCAGGCACATAATGCAGCAAGCACGTTTGGCGCACCTCTCGTGGAAGAAGATCATTTCGTTCGACGCCGCCTCCACCAGCCCCTCCAGCCGCTTCACCTCCCACTCGAAGCTCTGCACCCACCACAGCCACACCCACCACAGCCACACACACCACAGCAGCACCCACCACAGCAGCAAGCACCACAAGCAGGCAGCGAGCAATGGGCAGCAGGGGAGGGGAGATGGTGAGCAGCTGTAACCCCACAGCACAGCGCTGGCCCAAAAAGGCCACTATTGCAGGCATGGTGAGGTGTAGGCATGGTGAGGCACAGCAAGCTCCACCAGCTCCTCTCACCTCCACGCGCTCCTCTCACCTCCACGCGCTCCTTGGTGGCGGCCTGCTGCATGTGCGACGCTGCCTGCCCCTCGCGCCACGTCACCTCCACGTGCTGCAGCTTGTCGTCATGGCGGCCCACATGGTGGCCATGCAGCCAGAAGCACAGGTGGTACTCGCCGCTCTCCTCCGCCCTGAACCCCAGCTGCCCCTCGCTCACGCCCTCCTTCATGTACACGTGCACGCCCGCCGGCGAGGTCACCTGCGCCACGGCGCACCCATGGGTTGACGCATGGGAAAGAAGGGGCAAATGGGACGAATGGGGTGAATGGGAGGAATGGGGCGAATGAACGTTGGCAAATTGGAATCGGCAAAAATGGAAAAAGAGAGGAACAGATTTTTTTTAACAAAGCAGGAGGCGACCACACAGGCACATGTGGCGACCACACAGGCACATGTGGGGACCACACAGGCACATGTGGCGACCACACAGGCACATGTGGCGACCACACAGGCACATGTGGGGACCACACAGGCACATGTGGCGACCACGCAGGCACATGTGGGGACCACAGAGGCACATGTGGGGACCACAGAGGCACATGTGGGGAGGGGAGCGAGTGCGTGGCGGCACTGACGGAGACGTCGAGGGCGACGGGGCTGGCGTGGGTGGCGGGCACGGCGGCATAGGAGGCGGCGACGAGCGTGTCTCGGCGCAGGTCGTGGCCCACGCACTTGGCATGCTGCTCCACCTGGAACCGCACCGCTGTGGGCTCTGGTGGGGGCGATGAGGGGACGAGAGGAGAAAAGATGTGACGAAGAAGAAAAATATGAAAAGAGAAGAGAAGCAAAGGAGGAGACAAGAAAGTCGAGAAAGGAAGCGAGGGGTGAAGATTACAAGGAGGAAGAGGAGCAGAGGTGTTGTGCAAGGATGAGAGGAGCAGGCGGGTGTAGGTAGGAGGTTTGAGTGATGTGTATGAGCAGCGAGGAAGGCGACGAGAAGAGACACGGTGCAGGAGGAGGGAAGGCTGCTGGAGAGAACAGGGGGAGGCAACAAGGAGGGGTTGGGGGGAGCGGGGGGAGAGAAGGAAGGGGCGGGGGGGGGGAGGTGTAACAGGACCGAATTCGCCATGCGAGATGCATGGGAATTTCCGAACGGGTGGTTGCCTGGCTAGCTCCCAACTCTTACACTTGCTAGCCTAGAGCACACTCCCGCATCCCTGTCAGGAGGATAAGTACAGCAAGGCATGGCATCGAGGCGCTATGCCATGCTAGAAGCGTGGCGACACAGTATTCCTTTTTCCTAGCATAAATATCCTTCTTTAGATGTTCTTTGTAACTTCTTCTAATCATATCCTTGAAGTCTCTCTTCTATCAATACTTTCTCGTCTCTTGGAGCTAGGCGTCTCTCCCAGCTTATCCTAGCTTCTCTTTATTCCGTTGCGTGACAACTCTTCCCTCTTCTTCTCAGCTACGGCGCCTCTCTTTAGTCGCTAGGCCGGCCAGGCCAGCCGCGCCATGCGGACTGCGCCGTAGCCTTGTTTCAGGAGGGGAGAGGGGGGGGAGGTTGCAAAAAAAGGGGGATATAACAGAGGAAGGAGGCTAGATGGAGGGAGCCGAGTAAGGAGGGATTGTGAGAACGAGTGTGGTGAAGTGTGAGGGGGAGGGGCGATGGGTGCCAGGGTTGAGAGGGATGGCGCAGCGAGAGGGAGGAGGGGCGGTGGGGGCGACAGCGGAGGCAACAGTGCGGCGCGCTGCAGTCGCGAGAGAGGCGATTCGGAGCCACGCGCCTCGATCGGGCGTTCCTCGACCCGCCGCGAGGTGCCTCAACGCGCTCGACGCGCAGCGCCACTCGACGGCTCACCTGCGCGCGCGGCGGTCATGGCGAGCAGCAGCAACCACAGCGCGGCGCTTCGCGCCATGGCGCTTCGCGCGACGAGCGCGGGGAAAGTGAGGGTTGACGGCCGACAGCGGAGGCGAACGATGCGGACGGCACTCGCGGAGCGGAGCGACAGTCGCCGCTGATGGCGTTACGCGGTGCGAGTGCTTGACTCGCCTGCTGTATGTTGGTAGCGGCGATCACGCACGGACGGGAATTCGACGGTGTGTTGCGATCTCGACCGTCATTATGTGCGATTTGGGTTGTGACTCGTCACCGTGAAATGGCGGAATCGCGCACACTAGAAAAATGATTCCAAGAATCTATTTGTTACAACTGGCTAAACAGACATAGCAAATTGCTAACTATATAGCGAACAAGAATGTTCATAACGGGTATCTAATGCACCACAGCCATGATGTCCCCCTCCCGCACAAAGCAGAACCTGTCGGCGCCGTCTCCAATGGCCACCTAAACTCATGGGGATGGGCAATGGGCAGCCACGCACGCACAAAGACCACAACCACCAAGACAGCATGTTGATGATGCATCCTTCCTTGAACACACTCCTAGAAAGCGTGTGCATACAAACGTGTGTTGAGGGGTGAAGGGGCAAGGACAGCGATCCAGTTGTGCGGCAGTGCTGGGCAGGCTTGCAAGATGGTGTGGGTCGGGTGAATGTGCGAGAGAGGCTCACCTCGTATGCGTTCATGTCGGGAAACATGATCTGCACACACCAACACGGCACACACAGCAGCACGGCACACACAGCAACACGGCACACACACCAACACGGCACACACAGCAGCACGGCACACACAGCAGCACAGCACACACAGCAGCACGGCACACACAGCAGCACGGCACACACAGCAGCATGGCACACACAGCAGCATGGCACACACAGCAGCATGGCACGCACAGCAGCACGGCACAAGAGTGAGGCGAGCAAGAGCGAGTGAGGCGAGCAAGAGCGAGTGAGGCGAGCAAGAGCGAGTGAGGCGAGCAAGAGCGAGTGAGGCGAGCAAGAGCGAGTGAGGCGAGCAAGAGCGAGTGAGGCGAGCAAGAGCGAGTGAGGCGAGCAAGAGCGAGTGAGGCGAGTAGGAGGCAGTGCAGGCACGGCCTCTTGTGACTGACCTTCTGCCCCACTGACGCCTTCTTCACCTCCTCCCCCGCTGATACCACCTGCACTCATCGTGTGCCACCCCCACACGCACACACGCCACCACTCACCCACATCAACACGTATACCACACAGTAAATGCACGGGCGTGCTCACACAACACACAGCGCATGCACACGACACACATAAGAACACAGATTGGGCAAATCAGAAGCAAGAAAGAGCATTGGTTCGTGAGAGACACCTGAGGGCAGTAGTGGGAGAGGAGAGGGAGGAGAGAGCGGAGAGGGGCACAAAGAGGAGGAGAAGTAGGAGAGGGAAGGTCAGTGAGGTGTCGCCTTACCTGCCCGGTAAGGTATCGCCTTACCTGCCCGGTGAGGTATCGCCTTACCTGCCCGGTGAGGTATCGCCTTACCTGCCCGGTGAGGTATCGCTCGTACTTGACGGCCTGCGTGGGCAGCAGCACGCCCCCCGCTGACTTCTGCACTCGCAGAGGGGCACAGAGGGGCACAGAGGGGCACAGAGGGGCACCAGGGGCCACAAGGGTACATAGAGGGGCATGCGGCAGATCGTTTAATTGGAATGAGCACTTCATGCCACAACGGTGGGAAGCACAGAGCGAAGGGGAGTGGATAGAGGACGAGGAGGGAGAGACGGGAAAGCAGGAGAGAGCAGGAGGCGAGAAATTAGGAACGAAAGGAGAAAAAACTGAAGCATCGGATGGGCAGGTGTCAGGTGGGTGGGCAGGTGTCAGGTGGGTGGGCAGGCAGGTGTAAAATGGGTTGGCAGGTGGGCAGGTGGGCAGGTGTTGGAGGGTAGGTTAATATGAAAGATGCATGAGAGTATGGGAGCATGGGAGCATGGGAGCATGGGAGCATGGGAGCATGGGAGCATGGGAGCATGGGAGCATGGGAGCATGGGAGCATGGGAGCATGGGAGCATGGGAGCATGGGAGCATGGGAGCATGGGAGCATGGGAGCATGGGAGCATGGGAGCATGGGAGCATGGGAGCATGGGAGCATGGGAGCATGGGAGCATGGGAGCATGGGAGCATGGGAGCATGGGAGCATGGGAGCATGGGAGCATGGGAGCATGGGAGCATGGGAGCATGGGAGCATGGGAGCATGGGAGCATGGGAGCATGGGAGCATGGGAGCATGGGAGCATGGGAGCATGGGAGCATGGGAGCATGGGAGCATGGGAGCATGGGAGCATGGGAGCATGGGAGCATGGGAGCATGGGAGCATGGGAGCATGGGAGCATGGGAGCATGGGAGCATGGGAGCATGGGAGCATGGGAGCATGGGAGCATGGGAGCATGGGAGCATGGGAGCATGGGAGCATGGGAGCATGGGAGCATGGGAGCATGGGAGCATGGGAGCATGAGGGAAAGGAGCAGCACTCACCTGCTCGGGTTCATCCAGCTTCACCAGCAATCGCTCGCCACGTGGCTGAACCTGAATGGGGGGAGAGGAAGAGAGAAAGAGGGGGATATAAGAGGAGCAAGCAGGAAGCAAGGAGGGCGGCACGTTGGTTTGCTTCGTGCTGTGCTGCTCCACGCCGCATGGCCACGCACCCGGCCATCGCCGCCGCTCGCTGCTGCCTCGTGCGCGTCAGCTCGCGAAGTCTGTGGTGTTACCACGTCGCGGGGATGAGTTTCTCGAGGGTGGTCACGGCAAAAGAGCGCGTCTTCACTTTCACTCACCCACTGCGCCGTCAGGACGCCGCTGTCACACCGCACCAGCTGACGTCACTGCGCGCGGCCGCGTGCTGCCAGCACCACCAACTCTCGCCCCCAGTCGCCGCTGCGCGAGGCGACGACCCGCTACTCCCGACCTGGCGACAACGCGATCCCGCACCCGCACCTGCCACCAACCCTCATTCCACCCAACCGTCATTGCCTCGCTGCCTCACCCGCTTGTCGCTCAGAGCCTGCGCGATCTCCGCCGCGCCCATCGCTGCGCGCACGCCCACCGCCGCAGCCGATCGCGACGCGCATTTTCTGGAGCCGGCGACCAATGGGGAGGCGAGGCTGGGCGTGGTGACCCGGCAGGTGCGCGCGCTGCTGAGATCGGAGAGCGCGACGGCCTGCGACGCGATGAACGACGAACGACGCGAGCGACGGGACGGAGGGACGGTGGGAAGGCACGATGGGGAGAACAACGTTAGCAGCGACCATCTCTGCATCTACGTGGCTGTGCTTGTGTGCGAGGCGAATGCAGAAGCGAGCACACAGTGAGACAGGGTTTAAGGAGGCTTGGAGAGAATGGCGCGGGTGTGGAGGGAGGGGAGGGAGGTTGAAGGGACAGGGGGAAAGCGAGATTGGCGGAATAAGAGCGCGGTAGTGGGCGAACCCAACGGGCACGCCGACGGCGCGCGCACAGGCGCGCAGAGGAGGGCAGCGAGGGCGAGAGCGGCGTGAGAGAGACATGATCGTAGGGTGGGGGACAGAGAGGAAGAGAGAGCTCACCGCGCAAGCGGGTTGGCGGATGCAAGGGAGCGACACGGACGCCATGAGTGGATTCGCGGTCTGCGCGCTGAGGATCGAGTGGCGAGCGATGGAGGTGTGAAAGCGCAAGGGTGACGCAGAATTACAAACGCAAGCAGCGGTAGAGGTGAATGAAAGGCGATGCAGGGCTGGTTCTACTGCGTTTGTGACATAGAGTGCTGGGCGAAATGGTCGAGGCTTCGCGAACCTCCCAGTGAGGGGATTCCGGGGCTTGCGTGCTGACGAGGCCTGTTCCAGCGGCCGATCTGGATTGTTCTTTCCGAAAGGATGCCACGCTGTAGCTTTGTGTTCTTTTTAGGGTGGACATCTCGTTTGGGGTTTGATACATTTGGGTAAAGAAGTTTTTGGGTTGCGAAGTGTAAAGCGAGTAGGCAAAATACTCACCCTGAATTCGAGTTGGGTCCAGGGCCTATGTTATCAGTGTAAATCACCCTGATGCCCTGATTATCAGGGTGGTTTTTTGTAGTAACACTGATGCGGCCGGGTAATTCTTTAGGGACCCTGATTTACCCTGCTGTGCCAGGGTTTACGATTAAGGAACACTGTCGCATCAGGGTTTTCTTGCCGTTCCCCTTATCGAGATTTATCTTGAAGCGAGTACCAGCCTGCTGCGATCAGAAGGGGATCACTTCCAGGATCTTCTCAAGAAGGTTCGCACGCAACTAGATGTCAAACTATATGTGCTGCATATTGTCTAGGCTGTAGTGGGGTAGCCCATATGGGGTACAATCCAATTAGGGTTTACTACTTGTACTCCTGCATCATGCTACTTCAATCATTCCTGCTGCTAGATTCTGACATGGTATCAGAGCACTAAGGTCCGTAGGACCGTTTTTTTCGGGCCCACCTACTGCTACGGTTACCACGCTACCCCACGTACCTGCCTGCCTTGCCTTGCCTTGTGACGTGCTGCACTACGTGCACCGTCCTGCAGCCCTAGCGCTGCCTCCTGCTGCCCTAGGCCAGCGCGCTGCCCCTGCAGGCCCGTAAGGCCCGCGCGCCGCCCCTGCAGGCCCGTCAGGCCCGCGAACAGCCCCTACAGGCCCGTCAGCCCCCCTGCTGCCGCACGCAGCCCGCGCCGAGCCGCGCGCAGCCCGCTGCAGCCGCGCGCAGCCCGCACCGAGCCGCGCGCAGCCCGCACCGAGCCCACGCAGCCCGCGTCGAGCCGCGCGCGGCCTGCTACTGCCTCGCGCGGCCCGCGCCGAGCCGCGCGCGGCCTGCTACTGCCTCGCGCGGCCCGCGCGCGGCCCGCAGCAGCCCGCGCCGAGCCGCGCGCGGCCCGCTACTGCCTAGCGCGGCCGCACGCCGCGTGCTGTCAGCGCAGCCCGCGCCGAGCCGCGCGCGGCCCTCTGCCTCGGCCCCGACCTGCCGCTGATGCGGCCCCGCCCTGCAGCTGCCACGGCCCCGACCTGCCGCTGATGCGGCCCCGCCCTGCAGCTGCCACGGCCCCGACCTGCCGCTGACGCGGCCCCACCCTGCAACTGCCGCTGAAGCGGCCCCGCCCTGCAGCTGCTTCGGCCCTGCTCTGCAGCCGGTGTTGCGGCCCCGACGTCGCCGCTGTCGTGCGCCTACTCGGTCGCCGCCCGTCGAGCGCCGGCCCTGCTCGCCCGGTGAGCGCCTGCTCTCCCAGCCTTTGGTGAGCGCCTGCCTGCCTGCCTGCCGGCCTGCCTGTCTGCCTGCCTGCCTGCCTGCCTGGCTGCCTGGCTGCCTGCCTGCCTGCCTGCCTGCCTGCGCGCCTGCCTGCCTGCCTGCCGGCCTGCCTGCCTGCCTGCCGGCCTGCCTGCCTGCCTGCCGGCCTGCCTGCCTGCCTACCTGCCTGCCTGCCTGCCTGCCTGCCGGCCTGCCTGTCTGTCTGCCTGCCTGCCTGCCTGCCTGCCTGACTGCCTGCCTGCCTGCCTGCCTGCCTGCCTGCCTGCCTGCTTGCCTGCCTGCCTGCCGCGCCTGCCCTGCCCGCGCTACTGCTGCTGCTACTGCTACTGGCAGGTGGCCAGATGCAGCTCCAGCGACGTTCACGCGAGCCTCTCACGCCCCAGCAGCTTAGTGAGTGGTATACTAGCTGGGGTTGTCGCGGTAGCCGTCGTAGCTGTCGCCCTGGAGCTGGTCAGTTGGGAGCGTCTGGCAGTGGCCAGCTGAAGCTGCGGCGGCGTCCACGCGAGACACTTACGCTCCAGCAGCTCCATGAGTGGTACGCTCAGTGTAGCAGGTCTACGCGTACAGTTCGCTGCCCGTACGTCATTCGCACAGGTGCTAGGACTGGTCAGCCTTGTGGGACGCTTGGTCACACACAGTCCCGCTGCTTCACCCGTCTGAGCGACGACTGGCGCACAGTGTTTGGCGACGAGGCTGAGCTCCCCACCTGGCTGGAGCTGCATGGACAGAGGGTAGATATCTTTGCGCTTGACTATGATGCTATTCTCACTGCCATGTATGCATTGCCTACTAGTGCTGACCGTGCCTGTTACCTGTGCGTACCGCCTGACCCTGGTATAGAGCCTGCTGCTCTCGGTGCTGGTGAGGCTGCTGCTCTAGGTGCTAGTGCGTCTCTTGCTCTAGGTGCTGGTGAGGCTGCTGCTCTCGGTGCTAGTACGTCTTCTGCTCTAGGTACTGGTGAGGCCGTGGCTTCAGGTGCTGGTGAGTCTGCTCTCTCTGGTACTGCGCCCACTGCGGTCTCGCACACCTTCACCCTTGACTCAGGAGCTTCCCGCTCCTTCTTTCGCGACTGCACCACACTCACGCCGCTTAGTCGGCCAGTTCCAGTCTCCCTGGCGGACCCCTCCGGGGGTCCAGTCCTTGCCCACTACTCCACGGTTCTGCCGTGTCCGGCCACCCTGTCCGGCTCGCTGTCAGGACTTTACCTCCCCTCGTTCTCTACGAACTTGGTGAGTGGAGCTGACCTCCAGGATCGGGGGGTTGACCAGTTCACTCCTGCGAGTCAGCGAGTGACTCACTGTACGTGTGCTAGGACGGGCCGGCACTTGGCCACGTTCACCCGTGCACCTGACTCGACTTTGTACACACTGACCACTGAGTCCCCTCAAGTAGCTGCGTCTGCGTCTACGTCTGGTCAGCTGGCGGCCCCCTGCGAGTGTCGCGCTTTGTCGCACGACACTCTCCTGTGGCACCACCGCCTTGGTCACCCCTCCTTGCCTCGCCTGCGTAGCATGCACTCTCGCTCCCTGGTCTCTGGTCTTCCCAGGTCTCTGCCTGCCCTCCCTCCCTCGCCTGCGCCGCCTTGCATTCCTTGCGTCGAGGGGCGGCAGCGCGCCGCTCCTCACTCCTCCTCGTTTCCTCCCATAGAGGCTCCACTGCAGACGCTCCACCTGGACGTGTGGGGCCCAGCCCGCGTCCAGGGACAGGGCCACGAGCGGTACTTCCTGCTGGTTGTCGACGACTACACGCGTTACACCACGGTCTTCCCCTTGCGGAGCAAGGCGGATGTCCCTGCTGTTTTGATCCCCTGGATCCGCGCAGTTCGTCTCCAGCTCCGCGAGCGGTTCCGGTCGGACTTTCCTGTCCTGCGTCTGCACTCTGACAGAGGTGGTGAGTTCTCCTCCGACCTCTTGGCAGCCTACTGTGCGGAGCGCGGCATCCGCCAGACGTTCACGCTTCCGGCCTCTCCGCAGCAGAATGGGGTTGCTGAGCGCCGCATTGGCTTAGTCATGGAGGTCGCTCGTACCTCCATGATCCATGCGGCTGCCCCCCATTTTCTGTGGCCGTTTACGGTCCGGTACGCCGCGCATCAGCTCAACCTCTGGCCCCGTGTCTCCTTGCCGGAGACCTTGCCCACACTGCTGTGGACGGGGAAGGTTGGCGATGCGTCGCGTTTCCGGGTCTGGGGTGCTCGTGCCTTTGTCCGCGATACCACCGCGGACAAGCTCTCCGCCCGCGCTGTTCCCTGTGTCTTCCTTGGCTTTGTCCCTGACGCGCCTGGTTGGCAGTTTTACCACCCCACCTCGCGCCGTGTCTTTGCGTCTCAGGACGTCACGTTCGACGAGTCGGTTCCCTTTTACCGTCTCTTCCCCTACCACACTGCCCCACTCCCCCCCCCTGCCGCTCTTCCTCGCTCCAGGTGCTCCCCAGGTAGACCCCCTCCCCGCTCCAGGTCCTGCTCCTTCAGGTGTGTCTCAGGTAGACCCTCCTCCCTTGACTGCGCCGGTTGAGGTCACTGGTGACTCAGGTCCTACTGAGGGTGGTCCTTCTCGGGGTGCTACTTCTGGGGGTGCTGAGCCTGGGGGTGCGGAGCCTGGGGGTGCTGAGCCTGGGGGTACTGAGCCTGAGGGTGCGGAGCTTGAGGGTGTGGAGCCTGGTGGTGCTGAGCCTGAGTGTGAGGGGTCTGGAGCTGCTTAGGGTGCTCGCGCTGGAGGTTCTGGAGCCGCTGGAGGTACTGGCGCTGAGGGTTCTGAGTCTGCTGTTGCGCGGTCTCCTTGGAGTAGCCGCCTTTGTCCACGTGTGCCTCTCACCTCACAGCAGCTGCAGGACCGGTCGCCGTCAGGGTCGCGCTGCTGGAGCCTGAGGCTCTGCTGCTGGAGGTACTTCTGCTGACGTCCCTGGAGCTAGGAGTGGTGCTGGTCCTTTGTCTACTGGAGGTGCTGGAGTCGCTGGCTCCGAAGGTGCTCGTACTGGAGGTACTGGAGCTGCTGGGGCTGGGGGTGCTGCGTCTGGAGGTGCTG